TATTTTTATATAATAAATAGGTACTTAAAAATTCTTTGTTTTAGAGTCAATATCTTATCAGGTGTTTATATGTACTGAATCTTATTAACTTTTAGGTACGAATACGAGCCGGCCCTTGCGAACCAGCTCAGTAGAGATAATGAATGTTCGGATACGGGAGTTATTGCTCAAGAAGTGGCGCAAGTTTTGCCGGAAGCCGTTAAACCTGCTGGAAATATTATATTGCCAAATGGTACATCCATAGAAAACTTTTTGGTAGTAAATAAGGTAAGCAGTAAAACACTTTGTACTAAGCGATTTTAGTTTGTAAAATAAAGTTTTCTACTTACAAAATCGAACCTGTTGTCATGTACCGGAAAACCATTGAGTGAAACAAGTCTAGTTTTACATGTTTAATTACGACTTACAATAAAAGTAATTGATTATGATGTTATTTGGTGCATGAAATATACCAGTTTTGATTATTAAGAATCACTCTCTGACATAATTTACAACGTGTAAGCCTTTTAGCAGGTTTTTATCACACACCTAAAGTTTTGCATAAATAATAGAAATAATACATAGTTTTTTTTTATCAATACATTTGGTATCAATATCAATACATTTTGAATTCGAGCAAACCAATCGCGGACAAACATGTATGCCAATCCCAAATAGGTATCTCAGAAATGAGATTTTTGTAGTCGTGTGCAGAATTATTTAGCTCAGAGCCCAGTGCGACTTAACTGACCTCAAATACGACAGAATAATACGACAGAACCTGAGTGAAGAAAAATATTATCTCTCTGCAATGATAATTCTCTTAATCTTGGATATTTTGGTGGGTAACCTTGTCTATTCTTCCGAGAATTAAAAGTGCTCGACCTTAGATATTTCCTTTCGCCTTTCCTGGTTATTTAATTCAGATAATTATTTTAACTTTATATGAGATAGAAAGAAATTCGTGGGATATAAAGGGGTATCGTTTGGCCTCTTGGATTCATCTGACCGTATAAATAAACAATTTGATTATGTTTATACTTGGTTAAAAATCTTAAAAATTCTTCTTTATTCTTCCTTCTTGTATGTAGGCTCTAAAGCCTGTTTCTTCTTCAATATTAGCCTCATAAATTGTTTAAATTATCGCACAATCTTTTTCTTGGTCTGCCAATACTTCTTCATTCATTTGGTGACTTATCTTGTGCTATTCGTATTATCATATCCTCTGCTATTCTATTAATGTGTTCGTTCCACTCCTGTTTCCGTTCTGTCACCCATCCATTTATGTCTTCTATATTGCATGGCTCTTCTTATGTTTTCGCTTCTCTCCCTATCCAACAGACTTTTCCCTGATATTCGTCGGAGTATTTTCATGTTTCTAGTGGGAGTCTTGTTTTAGATGTGTCAGGTTTGGTCTCCGCCGTGTATGTTAATGGTTCTAATTGCTGCTTTACAGATTCTTGTTTGTGTGTCTTGTCTTCCAGATTGTGTCATTAAGAGATCCCGCCGCTTCACGTGCTTTTAAGCTTTGTTGTCGTACATCTTCTTCAACGTCTCTGTAACTAGTTATGTCTATTCCTAGATATCTAAACATTGCTTCCTGCTTTATTATTTTCCCATCAATTTCGATTTTACATCATAGTGGGTATTTAAATGTTGTCATACATTTGGTTTCTTCTGCTGATATTATCATATAGAAATCTCTGGACTAGCTGAAACTCATTGGTTAGGAGAGGGCCATTTTAGAACAGACAATGGCAACTATCTTTACTTCTCTGGTGGTGAGACCCAGAACTATACAGGTGTTGCCATTCTGGTCTCACCAAGATTACAAAAGTCAGTTGTCGAATTTAAAGCTGTGAACGATAGGATAGTACTCATTAAACTGGATGGCAAACCACATAAACTTAATATCATACAAGTTTGCGCGCCAACCAGCACATCAGATGACATAAAGATCGAGGAGTTCTACGAAAAACTGGAGACCACAATCGCTAACATACCAAATAAAGAACTTACTATAATATGTGGCGACTTTAATGCAAAAGTAGGCAACACTACACAAAATGGCGACTTAAAGAATGTACTGCGAAAGTTTGGCATAGGGCAGAGAAACGAAAGAGGAGACCGTTTAATCGAATTTGCTATCACAAACAACTATTCTATCATGAATACTCGATTTAAACACCATGTACGTCGACTTTATACTTGGAAAAGTCCTGGAGATAAATTTAGAAATCAAATAGATTACGTCCTGACCAATATTCGCTAGAGATCGTCCATTCAAACAGTCAGATCATATCCAGGGGCGATATGCGGATCCGATCATACTCTCCTCGTAGCTAAAGTAATGCTTAAACTTAAAGCACCCAACAAACAAAGAGAGATAAAGAGGATAGAACTAAGAAAGAAAGACGATGGGAGACTATTAAACACTGCGTAACAACACCAGTGGATCGCTCAAAGAAAAATAATCCGGTGAAACGGAAACACTGGATAACAGATGAAACTCTTAAAGTAATTGAGAATAGAAGAAATCGTTGTTAAAGTGGTGTACACAGTGAAAGGGAAAAAGCTAGTTTAAGAAACCTCAATATAGAAATAAAACGAAGATGTAAGGCCGACAAAAAACAGTACTATCAAAGTATATGCAAAGAAATTGAGAGACATGGTCAGAATAATCAGCCGAGAGATCTATTTAGAAAAATACGCTACCTGACAAGAGACTTCAGAGCCAGAACTTGGGCCATTGAAGATAACACTGGAACCCTGAAAACAAACAGAGAAGACATAGCAGAGACATGGAGATCGTATTGCAGGGACCTATACAAAGATGATCAGCGCCAAGTGCTTGTTAGCAAAATTTCTGACGAGGTGGAAGAAGAACCTGATATACTCGAAAATGAAGTAAGATAGGCTATCAACAAGCTCAAATATAACAAAGCACCAGGTCCAGATATGATAACAGCAGAAATGCTTAAAGCCACAGAAGAAACCGGCGTAAAGTTACTTCATCTACTCTGTAACCAAATATGGCATTCCAAACAATGGCCTGAAGACTGGACAAAATCCACAATAACGACCATACATAAAAAAGCTTCCATAAATGCGACAATTATAGAACTATCTCTCTTATATCCCATGCCAGCAAGATAATGCTACATATAATCAATGAGAGACTGAAAACATTCCTTCAAAGAGAAATTCCACAAGAGCAAACTGGATTTACCAAAGGTAGAGGCACTTGAGAACACCTGCTGAATATAAGACAGATAATCGAGAAATCTAGGGAATTCAACATCGCACTATACATCTGTTTTATAGATTACCGTAAAGCGTTCGACAGGGTCAAGTGGAGACACTTATGGCGAATACTAAAAGAAGTAGGCGTACCACAACATCTAATTACGCTTATACCTGAACTATATGAACACACTACTGGATCAGTTAAAGTACTTGATACACTTTCGAACGAGTTTCATCCAGAACGGGGTGTCAGACAAGGCTGTATACTATCTCCACAATTATTCAACATACATGGGGAGTATATTATGCGAAGAGCACTTAAATGATGGGAAAAGGCATCTCAATAAATGGTCATAAACTAAACAACCTACGTTTCGCAGATGACACAGCCCTTCTTGCAAATAGTCAAGCAGAGCTGATGGAACTTATACGACTGATCGAAAACGAAAGTCAAATATTTGGTCTGCAATTAAACATATCAAAGACAAAGATCATGATAGTGGATAGACTACACGACAATCATCCACACATAACCACAATTGACCGGTTCGAGGTTGTGAGCTCATACTTATATCTGGGATCATTAATCACAAACACAGGGTCATTACAATAAGAGATTAAACGTAGATGTGATCTAGCAAAAGTTGCCACAACAAAAATGACCAAAATATGGAAGGACTGTCAAATTTCAAGAGCGATAAAGATGAGGTTGATCAACTGCTTAATATTCCCAATACTGACCTACGGATGTGAATCTTGGACTGTGAGACAATCGGAGAGAAGAAAGATAGACGCCACTGAAATGTTTGTTGGAGACGAATGTTACGAATTCCTTGGACCGACCGTAGAACAAATAATTCAATTTTAAGAGAGCTAAAAGTTAGCAACGACTCTCTAGTAAAGTCCATCTCCAACAATTAAAATATTTTGGGCATGTTATGAGAGCAAACACAGAAAACATGGAAAGACTCATAATACAAGGAAAGGTAGAAGGCCGAAGATCACGAGGAAGATCCCCAACAAGATGGATAGATCAAATTCAATACACGACATCACGTCGACCACTACACTCCCCCTGGGGGGTCAGGATTGAAGAGAGAGAGAGAGAGAGAGATTATCATATAGTATTTCTTGGCTCTTATATTGAAGATGTGTATTAATTTTTGGAGCTCATCTTGTCTTGTTCCACATTCTGTAACCATGACCTTCACGTATTTCTTGTATTATTCCGTCCATTATTATATTAAAGAAAAGTGGGCTTAACGAGTCACCCTGTCTGACTCCGCTTAAAAATTCCAAAGTTTTAAATAAAAACCTTATTAAATTTTTAAGATATGCATAAGGAATAAAAAAATCTATAATCTCTTCCTCGATCTGAATAGCTTCTTCAAGCTTGATTGATTTTAACAAAGATTAGTATGCTTGGTTGATCATTTTTTGGTGTTAATTATACTTCTTTTGAAAAACAGGCATTATTTCTATTTGTTTCCTACCTTTCTTTGGCTGTAAAGCTTCTTTAAATTTTATTTTACGATCATTTATTGCTCTTAAGCTATTTTATTTTATTGAAGTGATATCTTTCGTACGTTACGTTAATACGCTTGTATTAACAATAATATTTTAGTGCTTTAAAATCATTTATAAATTTTACTGTCTTTATAGGAACGGATATTTATGGAAAATATAGGCGCTGTAAAAGAGCTTTGCAAAGTAACTGATAATTTGGAAACGAGAATAGATCAGTTAGAAAGAATAAACAGAAGATTAAATAAATTAAAGAGAGGAGATAGTCTTAAGTCTACGAGCACTGGTAAGGAACCTTACTTATTTAGGGTGTTATTTCAAAAATTATTAATTTATTTACTTATTAACTCTATTTTTCTTTCAGTTAATAGTTCAAAATTATCGTATTCACATAAATGTTCCAAGCATCACCATTCTTGTCATAAAGAAGACGAACTTTGTTCGAATAAGTTTATTCAAATTGTTATTGTGATATTGGTGTTGATTATGGCTTTTTGGTAAGTACATACTAAATTAGATTACGTAAGATATGCTTGACTTTCTGCAGTTTTACCTGGTCTAATCTTTTGTCCTTGACTACTTATCAAATCTTCAGTATATAGTACTTGTTTTGCCTAGTACTTTTATTATTGTATCTTTACACCAATTAATTAATTGTTTTTATAAATAGTTTGGCGGCAATAACGACCCTATACTTGATGGAAACAACGCGTCAAACGCAATACATACAGCCGAACATTGAAAGATCTCACAAAAATTATCCGACCAAAAGGCCGATAAAAATAACAAAAGCCCCTACGTGGACACCCACATTGCCACCCTATTATCCGACAAGTGCATATAAAGAAGAAGGTAAGCAACAAATATTTATTAAAGCTTAATTGTATTTAGTAATGTCTAGTTTCCAACTTTGAATTTTCAGAAGTAACAAAAATAACGCTCGATCCGACTTTGATAAGTATAAAGCCTAGTATAATAATCGGAAGGCCTCAAGATTGCATAGCAGTAGATCAGGATCTTGAAAATACAAATCTTTGTCAGGTAAGTTGCTCAAATGTATCTCATAGCATGATAATTTATATATGTATAATTCTGTATTTTGATATCGCAAACTATAAGTTGTGGATATATAAAACAGTAATTAGACCGGTGCTCATGTATGGGTGTGAGACGTGGACGCTGACAAAAGCAATGGAAAGTAAACTCAGATGCTTTGAGAGAGAAAAATCCTCAGAAAGATCTTCGGTCCCTATCACGATCCGATTACTAACCAATACCGAATGAGAACAAATGCCGAGGCAAACAAATGTATAGTGCTAGCGACGTAGTCTAAGAGATTAAATCCCGACGTCTAAGATGGGCTGGCCATGTTCATAGGCTCCCTAATAACCGCCTTACAAAGTTAATCTGGGAAGAAGTCCCGACAGGGAGAAGGCTGTGCAGTCAGCCAAGACCCACCCCGGGTTGTAGTGCTACCAGAAGAAGAAGAAGAATCTATAAGTTTATTAATATCTACTGGTAGCGACGCCATGCAAATAAAGAACTCATGATTTTTGAGTAGAAGTAAAAGATGTTTGAGCGGTGCACTTGTCCACTCAACGGACTACCTAAGCTCTGACGTCACAATGGGCGGGATTTTTAAAAACCTTTCCAAATATTTCTAATTTGTGTGTATTTGTCCCATAAGAAGTTTGAAATATTGTATTTTTTAACTGTTTGATGAATAATTAAGGACTTTTGGTTATGAACATTCATTCTGTGCGATTGGTATTATTTGTTGTTCGTGAATTTGTGAGGTGAGAATATCAAAGTATAGACATTTACTATGAATGATAGTTCTGGCAAAGAATGGCAAAGATATTTACTATGAATGTTCATATTTTAAGGTTATGTTATGGTTTGATTAAAACATTTTTTTTATTGTATTTCAAGGTATTTTCTTGATGTTTTTATTGGGGTCATTTCAAAATTAATTAATAAATCAGTGAGTTTATTTCAAAATTAAAAAATATTTAAATTAATGTTTTAATCTTTTTTAAGTGCTATACTTTGTTTCAAGTTAAGAAAATAACATTGCCCTTATGGGGAGATTAGTGTTGCCAAAACTCTCAGGCACGTGTTGCTATTAGATTGTCGATATATGATATTTCTAATCAGAGACGTATTCAGCACTGTGTAGTTGTGCATTATAAATACTTGTTTCTTTAATTGACAGATATAGGTATTTAATTATTATAGGTCTAATAAAAATAGTTAAATTTTACTATTGTTTAACATTACACATTTATTAAGGCTTCAGATAAGCTGTAACTAAAAAAAACAAGTGCAGCTTTAATTTTATTTTCATGTAAGTAATAACAACAATTACATACATAAAAATGTTTTCTTGTATACAGGGTTAATCACCACTAACAGACCGGAAGATTACAGCAAAAGAGTAAAAAAATTTAAATTATTAAGTTGATAAAAGCTACATTTTAAAATTATTTTGAAATATACAGGGTGTTCCAATAAATTTCGGCGTAGCGAGTTGCTATCATCAAGTCCTCGTAAACACTTTGTCTCAGGACCAGCAACTTCATGTGTAGTCAAACGTCACCATGTTACCAAATCCACTTGTAACTTTAACATCTTAATACATAATACCATATAATGTAAACTAAATTTAAACAGATAACTTTAAATGGGTTTTTACCCAGATATTTAGTGGCTCAATACATGTACACCTAGACACTGATGATGGAATATGGATTCCGAAAACGTTTTGTGAAACATTTTTAAAGAAAAAACTATGCACGATGGCACCTAGCCGCGTATGAACTACTACATCGTCAGTGAACTTTCTGTTGTTCACTCTACTTTTGGTACTAAACCAAAAGTAGAGTGAACGTATTTGAGAAATAGTACTAAAACTTACTCCCGTCATAGCACTTACTTTATCGGTTAAACTTTTAACACTAAATACTATTTAATTAAAATCATTTTGCCTACTTTTCATCTCTTGTTTCGAATTGTCACTTTTGGTCAATTACGTTAAAAAACATTAATTTTAATTAATGTCTGTGGAACGAAAATACAAATAATACAACCCTGAATCGTGCTTGTGCTCGTCGTGGCATCAGCGCGCTTATATCGTCCACAAGAAATACATGGCCCTACCTCCGCAATGTTATTTTCTTAACGTGGAATGCTCTATAGTATGAAGAGATATATTTTATTATTATGAAACACTTTAAATAAGAAAATCCACTTTTGGGCCCTTATGAGGGCCCCTTATGTACTTACTGACTCTGTAAAAATACAAATATTATTCGTGTAAAATAAGATTGTGACAGCCCTAACATATTTACTGTATCGAGAAAAAATTCGTGTTTTGTTCAATGTCTTTTTAAAAGTTTTTATCTCATAAATCAGACCCTTTCACATATATTCTAAGAAATATTATTTATATACTGATTCCGACCCGGCGTGACATTATCGGTATAAAAAACAATTTGAATCGACCCTTTTACACACCCATATACACACAATATTTGAATCGCCAAATCTAGGCGTCGTCAATCAATTTAGATCAAATTTCCTTTTATGGCCATAAGAAATAATTTCAACTAAACCACATTCATTTTACATATTCCCAATTATCAACATACGCACGTGAAAGCCAAACAGGGTCGTACTGATGGGTATCGTATGATTCTTAAAAATATTTACTTTTGAAACTATTAATGTAAGAATTTCTTGATATTTAATCATTAAATCACAATTAAACTAAGCTCTAAAAAATAACATGACCAGTAATTAATAACTTAACAATAACTGTAACAAATATAACACACAATATATTAACTTAAAAACCATCACGATACAATTTGAATTTAAACAAAATCGCAAGTTTGGATCTGTAACATGAGAATCTGTCTGGCTTAAGGTAATAAATTATATTTAATAGCCTCTTGACGAATGAGAAGGCGAACATCAACACATGCTTTTATTGATAGTTGGGAATTTGCTGAACCAATGAACTATACACACCTGCTTTTTTTATCATTCTATTTTCACTAAAAGGTTTTTAATAGCCGGTCATAAAATATTTTATTGCTTTTGAATTTATATAGCGATAAGCCATAAAAAGATCATAAAAATTTCGCTCGCTTACATAAAAAGCTCGCTTCGCTAATCATATCACGGTTCTCAGTTAATAGAGCCCATATCTCGCCTTGGTACACATATCTCTCTCTCTCTCTCTCTCTCTCTCTCTCTCTCTCTCTCTCTCTCTACGTATTAGACGTACATACTCGACATAGCAAAGTATTGTTTTAAGTCGGTTGTCATGAAAAATTGTAGTAAAAGTGTTTGTAAAATTAACTGTGCTCAAAAAAAAAAAAATACTCGTAGTCTGTAATATTCAACTTCGAACTATACCTTGATTCAACGAAGATTAATTAATCGGCATCTTCTATCATCAACCGACACAGACGTTTCGGTTGCCGTCTTATGTTGAAGGAAAGGTCATCCACAACAAAGATAATCTATTAAAATACCGTACCTTAAAAAAGCAACAAAGGTGAATGAAACAATTTGATGTGTATATAAAACACTGTAAAAACTAAAAAAAAAATTTAAACAAAATAGTCGCCTTAAATTTTTAAATAAATTTTTCCATAACATTTTCTTCCAGTATTTTTAGAAAACTTTTTGCTTTGAGTTCACTCACATGAGTTAACTTTAATTCCATCAAAGGCCTGTCCAATTTTTTAATGTATAACTTCTATAAAATATAATAATAAAAAATTATTTATTTGTTTTCAGATATTCTGTTGTGCGAATCCTCCACCGAGACATTCTCAGGAAATTCCTTCGTCACACTATTCGGAAAAAAGGCTTACAAATCCAAGCAGGAACAAAACGGGACCGTTAATTAATCTGGAGAAGAACAAAATTTCCAAACCGTTCCATTCGAATGATATTGATAATAAACAGATTAGACAAAAGCGGGACTCATATGGTGATGATTCGAACTTTTTCGATATAGGTGAAGGTCAGCTTTATGATTTGCATTGTCATCATTTTTAATTATACATATTTTACTTATCTTAAATATAGTTGCATCACAAATTCATACTTGGCGCACTGAGCGCTAGTGCATGATGATTTTGTATTATTAATACTGCATTCTTCTTTCCTCAACTCCGTTCATCTCTTTTCATCAACTCCTAACAGCTCTATCCTTCGTTCCACATAGTGGCATCTCTACGTCTGACATAAACAAACCATTGCAGTCTTTATTCTTGATTTTTTGAAACTGTAGTCTCCTAATCCCTAGTCCCTAATCAAGTCGTTTCTGATCCTGTCCCTTCTAGTCTCACCCAACATCCACGGTAACATTTTCATTTGAACTACCTCCATTTTCTTTTCATTTTTCAAAATAATACCTACTTCATTTTTGCCGTGACTGTTCGAACTACTATAACTTGTGTCCATCTCTCGACTTATTACCTTTCCAACGAGTTTTATGCAAAATACACCATTTCTTCTCCTCACCATGAAATTGGCGAGCTCTCTTCCTTTATCTGTCATGCTTCCGACGTTTAAAGTTGCAAGTCTCGGGACTAGCTTCTCTGGCCCCTTTCTTCCTCTAAGGGGTAGCCCTACTCATTTTTCACAGGGGCCAGGCAAGGCCGCAACTGCGTGTCGCTTGCGGGGAACGCCCTAGTGTCTAAACTGCTTTCTATATGCCTTATTTCCATAGTTTTAGATAGGTTTTTACTGCCGGGTGCCCTTGACGAAAACCCTCCTCCTTTATCCGGGCTTAGGACCGGCACTGATAGCTGCAGAGCCGCTAAATTTACCCAGCAACTACCAGATGTATTATTAATAATTCATTATTAAACTTACATTGCTATAAGAGGATTTTAACAAATAATGAAAGAATTGCTGATGTGAGTCCATCTTAACTATTGTAGCAAAGTAGAGACAGGTACTCACAATCCAAATTAATGTTGCCTATTCTTAAGAAACATTTTTAATGCTTGTTCTGATATCCTTTATAAGTTTCTACTTCTGGACCTGACCGTGGGTTATATATTGTAAATCCCGAAACCGAGGGAACTCCGTTACAAATCAATTAAAATAAGTTTATTATTACCTAAGCCTATTTTGCTATTTAGTACAGCTATAGTTTTTTATCTTCGTCTTATTGGCGATCCTGATACATATTCACTTTGTTATATCAGGTTCCAAAATCTTTTGTGTTGACAAATTTTTCCACCGAAATATTTCTCTTCTAGCGGCTGTTATTCGTTCGAGTGCCTTTCATGTGGGAAATATGTCTAGTATTCGATACAGAGTAATATTTCTCACTATGTAACCAAGGAAAACCAAGTATATTTATATTGTACTAGATCAGGCAACCAGATACCTGAACTATTAATTGATGATCTGATGATTATCAATTCAGATCAGATCTGATGATGATGATGTAACCGAGGTATTCAAGTGTGCTACTGGCAACAGAGTTAGGTTTATATTTTTAATGATGTAAACTTTCAATTGTTGGTTAGAAGGACATCCACTGTCTTTCAATAGATGCTACCAGACTTGCAGCATACTTTAACTTACTCTACGGCTCTAGAATATATACTGGGTCTAGGGCTGACCAAGTATTGGAGTTCAAACTGATCGCTTTTGGGGTACTATTCGTAATCTTCTGACTCACAACTTCCTAAAATCCTTTTTAACACCGTCTGTTCAACCAAATAATCACTTTTAAGGTAACAGGTATATCTTGTTTAACACCAGGTCTTCTTTGACCTTACTTATTTAAAGAGTAAGATAGTGATTTTTGGTTTTAAGTGTTTATCATTTCAAATCAACGTGCCCTAATATATTCATTCATAATTTTATCTTTTTTGTCACTCCATTCGCTCATCTAAGTATTCTCTGCTTTCTTTTTACCTATCTACCATGCAATTCCCTATAGCATACCTGGTGCTACAGCTGTCTTTTATAGTTTGCCTGTAAGGTTCATTGGGCTTTTTCGGTTACACATCACATTCATCCCGATATAACTCTCCTGCATGCATCTCTATTGAGTTCTTTATTGCTCTGTGATATAAATCTTTGATATATTAAGCTATTATTTTTGACAATCATTTCACCATCCTATTCGTCTTATTTTTAGCAATAAGCCCCCCTTGAAATTTACATTATAGATATTCTGTTTTATTCTACAAAGGTGTAAACCTTCAAGGTTTTCTTCAAGAGCCTGTCTCCACTCTTTGCTTTTATTCGCTAACAGTATTTCTTATTATTAACTTTCTTTAATGATAATTAACCACAATTTCAGTTAAAAATACATTTATTTTGACGTTTCTATTTCCATTTCGGAAATCGTTCTCAAGATACAAATTTTGACTCCGAAATGGAAATCGAAATGTGAGAATAAACGTATTTTTAATTGAAATTGCCAAAATTTTACTCTTATATAATTTATTTTTTAGATGACCAAATGTTTACTATAATATTACACGGTAGGAATTTTAACACTACCTTAACGCCCAAGTATAAAGAAGAAACAAATTCTCCATACAATATTTCCTATTCAGTTCCAATATCAAAATATATGCCGGATGAATTTATTAATTTAATTTTTAGGTGAGTATCTTTTTCTGGTAAGCAAGAATTAAAATATGATAACTATGAGTCAACTGCAAGTTTATTTATTAATCGTGTAATAAAGAAATAAGCACACAGCAGGTGACATCCACTTGACATCATTTGTAGCACGGAGATTTTGGTGTTATCAAAGAATATAGATGCATATAGAAGGATTTTTAAATTTAAAAAAATAAATAAGTTTCAAATAACGCCTCCCTAGAGCTCAACAAATAAGGATAAGGTAAAATGCAAACATGGACATGAATCATGGCAAATCCCAAAGAAAACCAAATCAGCAACACCCGAGGAAAATAACACAACAGAGTGACTAAGAAACCAAGGGGCTCTAACGAGCAGACTAGGTCATAAAGCACCGTGACAAAAGTATTCAGAATGGTGGTAAGCACACAGACACCAACCTGATACTGAACTAGATCGGGCTCAAGTAAATTTGATCATTAACAAACTGGAGCAAGCACTTGATGAGACTCCTATCGGAGGTCAGAATGAACTTCTGCAGTTCCATAAAACATCGTTTAGCGAACGGATTCTGTGGGTGAACTATGTTAACGAGTATACAAAAAAATGGACGACTAAAGTGGTGAAAACTATGGAGAGAGTGGGAGGGAGCAAATATAGTTGATCCAAATAATATGCCCAAGCGCCCCATGGTCTTCACCCTCGTCCCGAGAAAGAGCTTGATGAAGAAACCATCATATCCTGTCCAAAGAGGCAAAATCAAGACCTTAAGACAGAAGACTGGTTGTTATCTCTCTTCCACAGACTTAACGACAGTAAAGATAAAGGTCATAGAAGGAGGAGGTATGAAGGAGATAGTTCTCGGATCAGCATACCTTCCATATTACGAACCCGATCAACCATCAAGGGAGTTGGAACAGTTAGTAAGAGATTGCATGAAAAATGAACTGCAATTAATCATTAGCTATGATACGAATGCGTACCATCTGACCTGTGGTAGTACAAACACCAAACTGTTAAAAAATGGCATGTTTTAGGTGAGGTGTCATATTCAGACCAACAAGACAGGCATAAGCAGACCTGGAATATTGTTTAGGTAAGATTAGAGGGACGATAAGGCATGCATTGAACGTAGACATAGTCGCCGAACAATTTCAAGAGGTTGTCATGTCAGGGTTTGAAGATAACCGAGTTAACAAAATATCAGGTGAGTGGGGTGATTATCGGAAAGCATGAACTGAATATAAAAAAAAATAGAATGGCAAAAAGAGAATCACGGAGAAGGCATTGCTTGGAGATAGAACAGACAAATGTCAAGGCTCTATTAAGTTTTTCAAAAGACCCTTAGATAAGTATTCCCGCGCTCCAAAATACGTCAGGTGAACACCCTCTAAATTGTAAAAAGAATCTGAAAGATCTTTTCAGGGTGCACTTTCTTGAGTTTCAAAAAAATACTGATACCACTAGACACATGACAGCCAACTGGAATGGATATCATAACTTATGGTTCTAGACATGATACTATGAATAACAAGATAGGATCTTCCCATAGCCCAAAATCGGTCTTGTTCGCGCATGCCGTCATTGGAGAGTAGAATTTGAATTCTTGTTAAAGTTAAATGGGATTTGTATGCATTCTGTGATGAAATTACTGGACGAAAATCAGTTAAAAAGTTCAATAATTACAATAATTGTATACATAAGGATATCTCCAAACTATTTACTAAAGATTATTTATTGACACATACAAAAAACTGACATTTCGAACGTGCAACTCTTCAATGACGTCACGACTTATGCGCAATATCTTATCTTCTTATCATAGTATCATGGTTCTAGAGAAAATTGGCATGTGGCAAAACAAGTGAACTGGGACAAAATCAAATAGATAATAAACAAACCTATTTTTATTTTAAAGTTATAAAATTTTATTTACATGTAATAAAAAAATAAATACCTTTATCATTGAAAATTTCATATACTCGGTTCACTATTCCCAGTCCGAACTGTTTAGTGAATTTAGTAATTATTTTTTTGCGAAGTTAGTTACTTTTTGACAGACTAAAAATGGCTGGAAATTACTATACAACGAAGCACACGTACTCATAGCCAATATTAATAGTAAGCAAACTAAATAGTAAATAAAATAGAACTTTGCGAATTACCGACAATCAGTATTTATTTATCTGCACCAGATAATAAATAGTTAAGTATGTTAAATTATAACAACTAAAATATATTTTTTAAATAATATACTACCCAAAATTGTATGGGTTTAGTATGCACTTCCACTATTTAGAGTAATTCTTCTTTTTTGTCTGCAATAGTAGTATACTTGAGCTATTAATACTGAGAAGGAGGAATTGTTGTATTCGCTGTGAGCCGATGAGTAGAGGGGATTTGACAGTTTTCACCAACGCTGTTGTGGCAGGTGGCAGTTTTGTGCATTTAACTTGTAACCATTCAATTTCAAGTAATGGCGAATATGGATTTTTCAAAAAGAAAAATATATGATACATGTAAAAATACTGGGTATAACAGTGATTGTAAATTGTATTCATTTCAATGGGAAAAAATGGATTATTGCTATCAATAAGAAAAATAAGTAAATAACCTATAATATACCCGGTTCGGTATTCCCAGTCCGAACTATCTAGTGATTTTAGTAATTATTTTTTTGCGAAGTTAGTTACTTTTGACAGACTTAAAGTGGCTGGAAATTACTATACAACCAAGCACACGTACTTATAGCCAATATTAATAGTAAACAAACTAATTTGTAAATAAAATAGAACTTTGCTAATTACAGGCAATTAATATTTATTTATCTGCACCATATAATAAATAGTTATGTTAAATTATAACAACTAAAATATATTTTTTTAATATATACTACCCAAAATTTGATGAGTTTAGTATACACTTCTACAATTTAGAATAATTCTTCTTTTTTCAAGAAAGAAGTCTGCATAGTAATCTTGAGCTATTAGTACTGAGAAGTAGGAATTGTTGTGTTGTAGGTTTCCAACAATGAGTCTGTTAAAATATGCCCAGCTAAGCGAATGAGAATACAAACACGATATTTCTATGGTGTAAAATAAAAAAGCTATTATATTCCGAAACATTGCATACATGCCCTGCATCAAACTAAATCTTTTTTGGCGTAGCTGGTTGAAATGGGATATCATATGATATAGACTTAAAACCAGTATAATGTTTAATATCCATTTTGATAAAATTAATAAAAATTTATATCTAAGCACTAAAGACTAAGCATACAAAAAATAACAGAGCAAAAACGGAATGAAAATGCAAAACGAAAACAAGAATTACAATGCTACAGAGGTAAAGGCATCGAGCAAAAAGACAAAAGGGAAATCTAATCGTTATGAAAAGGCTGAAAAGCATGATACTATGAATAACAAGATAGGATCTTCCCGTAGCTCAAAATCGGTCGGGTTCGCGCATGCCGTCATTGGAGACTAGAATTTGAATTCTTGTTAAAGTTAAATGAGATTTGTATGCATTCTGTGATGAAATTACTAGACGAAAATAAGTTAAGAGGTTTAATAATTACAATAATCGTACACATAAGGATATCTCCAAACATATTTATTAAAGATTATTTATTGATATATACAAAAACTGACATTTCGAACGTGCAAGTCTCCAATGACGTCACAAAAACATGCGCAATATCTTATCTTATAGTCATAGTATCATGCTGAAAAGGAGATAAAAAAAGTGGCCTCTGATGGCGGACATATCCGGAAATGCGAATGCGCCAAATTTAAATTTTCCGACACTTATTAACAGTAGCTATAAAATAGTTTTCAGAATGTGTCTTAGACGAGAAACTTTAAATAAATATTAACGATAACAGTCTAAAATGTGACACAATTGTTAAAAAACTTAATATAAATAAGCTTTCATGTGACAGTTTGGACAAACAATAACATAACCCTACTAAATTTGATTTATTAAACAAGGAGACTCTCTTCTTTTTGTCAATGGCCTCTTGCGTAAGTAGTCATCCAGTTGCAGGAACTTATATCTTTAATATTATAATTAAAATGGATGAAATAAAAAGGCGTAATTACTTTTACTATTAATTCTGTGTATTCGTTCAGTAATCAGTTTACAATAATATTATCATTGTCATATTTAACTTATAACCGATTTTACAAGAAAAGTACAAGTTTCAAACCGCGAGAGAGCGCTACCGGCGAAACTCACAGCGAATTGTAGGTTTCCGATAATGAATCTGTCAAAATATGCCCGAGCTAAGCGAATGAAGTATACCTTTTTAAGTCTTAAAATTAAAAGTTTAACAATTTAATATATTAAAAATAAAGATTGTATTGTGAAAAAAAAAATCCCCCTAACTATATCTTTCATGATGGTTTTAAGCCACGGTTTTAACTGTGTTTATGCAGTTGCCCTCTTCAGGAGTGTTTTGAAGTATAATAACCGTGACCAAATCGCCCATTTGAAATGTCTTTCTATATGCGTCTATATTCTTTGGTGTGATATTAACACACCTGACAACACTTACCTGACAACAGACTCTAAGAGGAGTCTCAGATGCAAAACATTATGCCTTTGTGTGTACAATATAATACAAAGGATGGGAATGTTTGTTCGATGTATCTCAGCTTCGGTCATCTTTTGTTCATTTTCCTATTGGCACTTGTCTGCTTATTTTGTTTGATATTTCGCTTTCTTCCATTCTTTCCACATGTCCCATCTAACGCTGTCGTCCTTTTTAAATTTAATGAACGTTACCATATCCGGGTCATGGTGTATTTTGTATAGTTCATTTTGTTTATCTTCCTCGCCAAATTCCATTTTATTTTAAGCCTTTGTATAAGTGCCGCAAGATTTTTCTTTCAAAGGTAGCTAATAATCTTTCCTCACATTTAGAGAATATCCAGATTTCTGAACGATATGTAAGTAACGGTCTTACTAAGGTTTTGTGTATTTGGTATTTTGTTTTCCTTGCAACGTTAACTGACCTTAGTTGCCTAATCAAGCCATGGTAACATTACATTTATTATCTACGAATATTCGCATCTTTTCCTCTGCAACGTTGTGATCAGACGTAACTAGTGATCCTAAGTATGTAAAGTCTTTTACCCCCTCAATGTTGTATTCTCCTATTGTTATATTTTGTAGCTGCCTTATTTTGTGTTTTATTGCATGCATTTGTGTTTTATATTATTTGATTCATTCTCCTTTTCAGGTCCAGTCAAACAAATATAAAAGAAATTGAACATTGCTACAACGATTTCAAGCAACATGAATGCCCTTTTGTTAGTTCGCAGGCCTACTATGACGACAAGATGAAAATAAGGCATAAAGTTAATGAGAATAGTGCTAGTCAACTTATCGGATATCAAAGTATCGTTTTCGAAGTTGACATGATTGACTATCAATCGAAAGTGATGACGTACAGAGCATCTCTTAAACCTAATTTGGTAAGTTATTAGAATATTTTTATTATATTAAAATTTTTCATGACATTATCATATAATCTATAATATATTGTAAATCTCTTAAATATTGTGTCAACGTGCATTTGTCTATATCTTTGAATTTGTAATATCAATTAGTAATTTTCAATGTTCATTTTAGTCGCAAAAATCTATCGATTTAGTCACATATTTATTTTACGCGTAATAATAATCGATTTTCGATTTTACTAACGCATTTTCTGTTGAAATTATTCACATATTCTTTTAAATTCTCATGAGATGGACAAAGAATCGTTCAATAGAAAATAATAGGGCTTGAACTGGCGTCACATAGACGAGCATTCGGATTTTGTTTATTCTGGTTTAAAATCGTGAAATTATGAATGTATCGAGTAAAAACATTATGGAATCTTTATGATATTCATAGCTGATCAAATGATTATGCATATTGTTAAACCATCGAGTTAGAATCTATGGAGAGGGCATCACGTGACTAAAAACGACCTCACTTCTTCGGCCATATTGTTATGATCGTTTTGATAGATCGTGTATGATTGTTTACGTTTATTGTTTTTCGAATATTTTTGGTTTTATAATACTTTTATAGAAACTGTAATATTATATTGTAATAGTGCATAATAATGGTTTCTTGTTCTCAACGTAGTTGCAGTAACGGAAGCAATGTTAATAAAAAATCTTCAGGCATAACGTTCGACAGGTTAGTATACAAATATGTAAACAAAGTAATGGCCCGTACTTCAGAGAATAAATTAATAGTATTCATAAAAAATCTTACATTAACTTAAAAAAGTTTCTCGATTATTTTTTTCAGTCATTATTGAATATTTTTAAAAGTTTCCAAAATAGCAATTAAAACATCCACTTCCAATAAAATATAAGTAATGAATACACAGAATATAAAGATAATAATAAATAATTTGTAAGCGTTTTATAATATTTTTAGTTCAATAATCATATTTTTTATTTAAAATATAAATTTGTTATTAATACTTAGTGATGCATATAATTGTGTTTTAGTTTCTAAAAGATCCTAAAAGACGAGACATATGGATCAAATTTGTTAACAAAGGAATATGGAAACCAAATAAATATAGTGTTTTATGCTCAAAATAAAAAAAATTTGTTTTTTAATTTAATAACTTTTCTAACTTTGTTAATTGAACTAAATATTTAACTGTCAGTTAATTTGTTTTTTTTTTGTTTGTTAATTTGATTAAATCTTCTGAATAAGTTTGTATAGTAGTTTTAATATTATTTAAGTCTGGCCCTGATCCCACCGCCATATTGGTATGATCGTTAGCCACGCCTACTGACGCCCTTTTTAATACTCACGTTAATATGCTCATAGCGTCTCCATAGATTCTAACTCGATGTGTTATATGAGTCATATCTTTTAAATTTTTAACTCTTTGTAATATTTGTATTTTTCTTAACCTTACATTATGTTTCTTTTCCAGAACATTTGCAAACTGGCCTTGTCCAAATTGGGATTAGATTATGTAGAATATAATTTTCATTTTTATAGACACTGTGATGAATAAGATCTTTATATTTTTCTTTATTAATTTTAGCAATATTGGTAATGTTAGTTATAGTCGAACAAAAAACTCATGACAAGTTTTATGTAAATTTTGATTTGTATAGAAATACGTTAAGGGTGTGTATAGCATGATTTATAGTTTCACTAGAAAATAGTGTAATTATATCCATATTTTTATTGTTAGATATTGATTTTGTGAATTATTGAAAAAGTCATTATAGTATTCCACTGACTTAATTAATAATCCCTTACTGTAGAATATAAACATAATAAAACCAACACTTAGTAATCACTTGTGAAGTCAGTCAATTCTGGTATATTTGATAACCATCACAATGATACTGTAATGATAATTATTTTCGCGGTTATATAATTGTTCTTATATTAAAAAAAATGCAGCTAAGACTGACTCTCCATATCAAAAACAGATCTAATTAGTAATGATTGAGACCGTCTAGGAAAAATCGAAAAATCCAACAGTAGTTCATTCCTCCAAATCCGGTTTAGAGTCCCACGGAAGGCGTTCTAGATAATTCGAATGGATGTGGTGACGTATCTCCTGCTTTCACACTGAAACTTTCACACTTCCTAATTCACACTGAAATTCTTTTCTTCTTCTCTGAAAGCGTCTACAGCTCCAGCATGTTCTGGTATTAAGGCATAATAAGTCGTCTTAATTCATTGTTGCATTTTCAATCTTCCAGGTTTACTCCTAAGATCGCTCATTAATTTACCTGATAGGTAGAATGTATTAGTTTTTATATACTTTTTCGTTTAACGTTTAAGATACATGTATGTCGTTTAGTTTCGTAAATAATGACGTATTCTTCAGCCCTGCATCAGAAGAATTGGTCAAATTTTCCATGATGAATATAACTAGAAAGCCGTATAGGAATCTGTAAGAACCCAAACGACTTAAATGAAATATGAAGATATTGTTGGATAGCAAAAACTACTTGTTGCTCTGGTGCTCTGGTCTCAAATGATATTAATTATTTAAAGTTAAGTCATATATAGCTCCTGATTTTACGCAACCAGCACAACCTCTTGCTGTTTATACCACGCTTTCCCACTGACTTGCTTATTACGGAGTCATGGCAAGAAATATTTATTGTTACTTCATAATACTTTGAGTAATTCAATTCAGTATTCATTCGTTGCAGTATTATTTATTTTTAACTGTGCACTTTAAGATATCCTATATACAGGGTGCGGCAATAATGCGTCGTAGTACGTACGCGATATATCCGTTATTATAGAAGCATTCAAAAGAGTTATTTAGAAAAATTATACCATATTACCAGAAGAACCTAACATACTTTTTTGTGGATCACCCTGCATATAATTTCAAATTTATATTAAGCTCCAGTCGGTAGATAGCCAAGCAGTCAACTCGCATTTCGATTCACTGCCAAAAATGCTCTAACGGAAGTGAATTCGAATCATGGACCGGTAAAAAAAACACAAAACGCTGATGTAGTTGTTTAAAATTCTAAATAAATCTGCTACTTACTTTAGAAAACAGCTGATGATTGATTAGCCTATAAAAAAGCAGTGCGGCAGAATCCCTGTGGTAGCATGTTGTTTGATTTACTTGAACTATATTGGATCCCATGATGACTTGTAACATTCTATCTTCTTCTTCTTTTTCTCGTAGCACTACAACCCGTGGTGGGTCTTGGCTGACTGCATAACTCGCTTCCATCTAGAACGATGATCTATGATAGTTGGGTGAGTGAGTAGCTTCATTGTACTTAAATCTGACCGTATGTTATCTCTCCATCACATTCGTGGACGTCCTACGTGCCTTCTCCCTGTCGGGGTTTCCTCCCAGATTAGCTTGGTAAGGCGGTTATTAGGGAGTTTGTGGACATGTCCAGCCCATCTTAGACGTTGGGTTGGACTACATCGTTAGCCCTATACATATGGTTGATCTCGGCATTTGTTCTCATCGGTAACATTCTATCGTTAAGCATATTGTCTATCAATTGGCTTATGAGTTTGCATAAGATTGTACGAAGAAATTTGTTTATCATGTCATCTCTCCAAACTGTACCATAGGCTGCTGATAAGTTAATAAATGCAGCTGAGATTTTGAGTTTCCTTTGCAATTCTACCTCGATGTGGTTGGTGAGTGATAGGACTTGGTCTGCACAGCTCCATTTGACTCTAAACTCAGCTTGTTCAACAAGAATCATCTCGAAGACTCGCGCGTTGATTCTGTTATAGATTAGCTGCTCTAGTATCCTGTATGTTGCAGACAGCAGAGCTCTTGGGACTATCGGATGATTTGTCTGGCTTTAGGATAGCAATTATTCTGAACACTGGATTCCTGTGGGAAATTACCGGTTTTTATAATGTCTGTAAAGAATCAAGACAACCAGTCTTTTGTATACTTGTTACAGTTCATTAAAAACTCTGAATGAATAATATCGAAACCTAAAGTTTTTCCTGGTTTAAGATCCTTAAGAGCATTTCAAATATCTAGTACGTAAAGGGGCTAGAGTATTCTGTTTATGTGACTCAAGGTTTACTGAATGTTATTACTATGTGAGACGACGGAGTTTGGATTAACAGTTATAGATTTTTTTATAGTGTTAATCATCACTGTAGTATCTCTGAAAAAGTTCTACATATTGCAAAAAAGAAAGATTGAAAGACGGTTTCTATCTATAATTTATACACATTCCGTTGATTTCAAATCTACATAAGGAATTATAAATTAATTCGGTACCATAAACACATAATTTTTATTATTTTTGTTAAATTTTTTTCAATCACATACCTACATCAATAACATATTTATATATCTTATGTTTGTTTAATACTCTATCAATTTTATTTTAAGTGTGTGCAAAGTTAATTTTATAACATTATATATAGTCTTAAGATTTATCACAAGAATGATTGTATATTTTTTTAGATGCTTCATTTCAAAAAATTTGCCTAATTAATGTTATCAACACTTTTTTCACTTTTAATTTGTTTAAAACATTGTTTAAGCTAAACCTGTTCGTTATATAAAGGCAATGATGTCACGACTACAAAATAGACATCGTTCGTCAGTTTTTTGTTTTTTTTGTTGGTAAAAGAATTGAATCAATAATGTCTAATATGTTCTCAACGTTGTCAAAATAGAAATTAAATCAATTAATTTGTTTTGATAAACACTTAATATTACCAACTGGAAAAACAAAGCAAGGAACAGAACAAAATGGCGGAAAATCCTAGAACAAGCCAGGACTCGAGAGGGTTGTCGAGCTACTGATGATGATGATGAAGTTGTTTTGATACTTTGAAATGCAAAAATTCATGTAATAGTTGATTCATCATCATCAGTAGCTCGACAACCCTATCTGGGTCCTGGCTTGTTCTAGGATTTTCCGCCATTCTGTTCTGTTCCTTGCTTTGTTTTTCCAGTTGGTAATCTTAAGTGTTTTCAGATCTTGTTCCACTTGTTCCATGTATCTAAGTTTGGATCTTCCCTTTGACCTTCTCCCTACTGGTATTTGACTCATTATATATTTTGATGTTTCAGTCTCCAACATCCGTTCAACATGGCCCATCCAGCGCAGACATCCGATCTTTATGGATGTTATTACCTCGGGTTCATTGTATGCTGTGTATAGTTCAAAATTATATCTTCTGTGCCATATGTCATTTTCTTTCATTCCCTTATATATTTGTCTAAGGATTTTTCGTTCAAACGTACCTAATAGGTTCTCATCGCTTTTCGACAGTGTCCACAGATGTCCAGGATAGGGCATCTCTCTGTCGTAGGCCCGTTCTCACATGGACTGTATTTGTTAGTGCATTTTGAAGTCGAATTTTGCATTGTACTTTAGGTGTTTTTTTTTAATATATCAATGAATTGAGTTCGAATATTAAACTCTTTTAGTGCATGGATCAGAAATTCTCGATGGATTTCTCTATAGGCACTCTCAAAATCAATGAAAAGATGATGTGTGTCTATATTAAATTCACTAGTCTTTTCCAAGATTTGCCTCAAGACGAAGATCTGATCTATTGTGGACTTCTGCTTACAGAAACCACATTGATATCCCCCAACTATTTGTTCCCATATGGTCTCAATCGGTCATACACAATATTTGACAGTATTTTATATGCCACAGTCAGTAGTGTAATACAAGCGGAGGCAAGTCCGCTGTCACCACTGTAATATCCTCGGTTTAAACTTTAAAGGATGCTTATCTCTGCGAGCGGAGGCAAGGCTTACTGGTCCCACTAGTCTGAACTGGCTGGTTCGCCCTCGCGAGTTCAGGAGGGTAGGGAAAAACAGGATAGGGGCTGAAGGATACTCTGCAGGCCCTGTAAGGAGTCTCTGCCTGTAACGGCCGGGAAGGAACAATAAAACCAAATTTCGAGTCTACAAATGTATTCAATAGACTGTATACTACAATTAAGTTAACAAGCTGTCGGTCATAACCAATAATGACTCGTTCAGGCGCGAAGGGAGACGAGAAGAGACCTTAGCAAGAAATTAAAGGGTGGACAATCTACGTTTTTATATATTACTTGGGTTAGTATATAGATTTAGTTACCTTCGCGTATTTAGGCCCTAGCTAATGAATACGCCCTTCAGTCCTACTGGAATTCACGTTCAGTTTGTTGAGGTACCGCGCGCTATCACGAATTTTCGAAACACCCAAAACCCGGCACTTATACGGTACTATTATCCCGTCGAAATACAATAGCGCACTCGCTGGTGTCGCCCTACTGACTGGTTGACCAATTTTTTAATTTTTATGTCCCGCGAACATTCCTAGTTTTTTTTTGCTGATTCTGCTGTCTGTTCCACGTGTTAGAATGGATCATGCGATGGTGTGTCGCTTCGTTGTATTATTTTCCACGAAGGTCTTCAGATTTCGTAATTCTTAAACATTCGGGCTTGTGTCAAACTAGGTCAAATTGTTATTCTTTGTATAATTTAAAATGTATGCGTTAACTGTATCGAATTTATTCTTTATTTAATTTGGAATATATAATAATTATATAAATAATTATTACTCTTCTCTAGGCTACTACCCCTATATTTTTTTTGTTTATTTTCTTGCTATGTTTACATTACAGTAGCGTTATTGACGGTAGTTTTTACATTGAAGCTGATCTCCCTTTTTATGTAGTACCTAATAGTTGATTGTTAAACGTAATAATGAAAATTGTAGTTGGTACTTGCGTTTGTAGAAACTAGACCTCAGATTTTGCTGAAAAGTAAAAGAGATATTACAAATAATTTTTATTTGTTTGTTTTATAAAAAAAATATTTTCATTGAAAGTAAAAAGTCTCAAAATGTATCAGGGGGCTTTGAGTTTTTTTATTTATAAAGATTTTTTGTTAAAACATTTTTTATATTAAAAAAATTTTTTCGATTTAAAATGTTTTTTTTATGTAGCAGATACATTGGTATTAGAGCATACATTTTTAAAATGAAGTAATTCTAATGCATGACATAACATGATATTTTAATATTTTATGTATTATAACGAAATTATATGTTTTAAAGGTTTAAAGTAAGTTTAATATAGAATGTGTCACTAAATT